GCTATCAACTCCAACACATTATTGGCTTTCTTAATGGAATTAGCTATTTCAGATTTAGCTCTCTGCAAGGAATTTTTTTCAGAAAATTTCAAGTATAATATTATATTGACAATTTCTTCCTTATGCTTTTGTATAATACTGAAAAGCTTTGAGAAGTGTTGTTCCACATCGGCCAGAATATTGGTAAGATCTTTTGCTGATCCAGCATCATTTTGAAAGTTATAAAGCAAGTATCCAACATCCTAAAAAACAATATAAAGCACATGTTAATAATTCAATCATAAACTACATCCTTTTCTTTATGATGAGAATACAACATACAACAGCTGTTTTGGTCAGTCTTCGGTAGGTTTCATCAACTTTAGGAGATATTTCATTCAAATCTTCTAAGAAGGTCTCGTTCTAAAAAAAAAAAAACAAATTATTATTAGGTATATGTATTAAATGTAGTAAACCATTTTTCTAAAAATAATTGACTTACAATTTCCTGCAAAGACACCACATCATGGTTCTTGCAAGACTTTTCTCCACCGAGTATCATGCAGTCCGTACATACACACTTCTTGCAATCCTTGCAATAATAATCAAGTGGCTTCTGAAGATGCTGCTTGCAGGTACTTGGTAACATAGTTGTTTCTAAAAAAAAGTTCAAACAATTAATGTATGATCAGTATGTTTATTATTTTCATAAATTGGAACAAAAACATACCGATACTTTGTAGTACATGGTTTTTGAAAACAATGTAGTTTTTGTGAGTTTTATTGAAGCAGGCATCACACAAGATGGTGACACACTCTTTACACATTTTGGATGTAGCTACACCACATTCAACACAATTGCCTGAAAAATGAAAAAAATAAATAAATTATAATATAATTTCCTGATGAATTGCATATACTTATTATTGTCTCATTACTACCTTGTTCTGCTGCACATTTTAACAAAGTTTTCAAATCAATAAAAAAGTCATCATCAGGTTGCTTACGAGTGGAGTATGAATCCTAAAAAAAGAAACAAAACAACTCTTCATTATATGCAGGAACAAACATGTTTTTCGGAAAACTCCTTAATAAAACTGCAGATTTTAGAAAAAACATATTTATTCCTATGTTATACATTCTAATAAGTAAAATAAAATTGACATAATAATAAATTAAAAACATTTACCTTCATCTGACTCACAGCCAGCTCTCCAACCATATGAACATTTATGGGAAATTTTGAATATAAAACATTTTTATCTAGCATGAATGTATTCAGATCATTGATCTTCACATTGGCATCACACATGCAGACTTTGCATTCAATAGGCTCCAGGCACTTCACAGTATTTACAATGCAATTTTCGCACATTGAGTGACCACATGGCAGAAGTAGTGGCAAATTTCCTTTCGGCTTTGATGAAAAGTTTACTAAGAAAATACATTTTTATTATTATATTACTTATTTTATATTAGTTTTTTTTTGTTTTGATGGGGTGCCATCAAAACAAAAAAATCTAATAACTAAGACTCAGTGGAGTCTTAGCTTACAAAGTAACAATTGTTATGAATGAATGTTATTTGTATGTATGTATAAAATAAAAAAATGTGGATAGAGTTAGATACACAGATCCTTTCACAATTTAAGTTTAGGTATCCACATTCACTTTGTTTTCACATTAATATACAAATTTAGACTCAAGATAAACTAGGATTAACAGTAGGCAGTAGAAATGAAAGTCAGCAAAAATCATGATGGAAAAACCTTTAGATTATCAACTTAAAACTTAAGATTATCAATGGGAAAAAATTATTATAATTGATCACTTGCCAACAATTAATATATGAATGAAATTATCATAATATCGTTAGATGTAATTATTCTAAGACCAATTAGAATCAACAAACGCAATTAATTGCGACGGATATCCCTAGGGGCTACTTGCTACATATACTTAATTTTAATCTTGTAAGACTAGGTAATTTTGAAGAATTGAAAAATATGAATGGTATAGGTACCAAGCAAACATATTTTATTATGAAATGGATTGTAAAATGTGTACTAACGTTGTAAATTATAAAGCTGAGAACAGTTAGGACAGAACTTCTTTACACCGTCGTCCATGGTGCTATGTTGAAAAAGTTTCTGATTTATAAACTTTCAGATTCAATTCGTCTTTAAGACATATTTTTTTTGTTTACATTAACAAGATAGAGAATATAGTCATTGGCTAATCGTTTTATAGTTACAATCACAATACCGCTTTTTTGAAAATATATCGCCGGTAGATTCAACACGATCAAGAAAGAATGAAAACAGAAAAAGAAAAATAGGACCACAAACAAAATAAGACTTATGGTACCATAGATAAAACATATTTTTTAGTTTATAGCATTGCAGTAAGTGGTACAAAGTCCTTTTATCTTGCCAACATAATCAACATGGTAGCGTGCTATTGGACAGGCCTATGTCCAACAGTAGACAAACACAGGCTGATGATAATGATATTGATGGTATCCAGTATCGCGCACAGTTGATGAGTACGGTGGGTGACGCGATTTTCGGATAAATACTCAGTAGGTTAATACCAAATAGCAAATATACATATATAAACGTTTTTGGACATACTCCTTTTTTTATGCGGTTATACCGGTAAATGAGCTGACAGATCACTTGATGGTAGGCAATCGGCGCCGCCCATGGATAGGTACCCGAAACACTCGAGGCCTTACAAGTGCGTTACCGGCCTTTTGGGGAAAGAAATTTGAGGATTGTTGGCAATTGGGAACTGGGGAGGTTAGAGGGGCTAATTATGGCATACAACGCAAGCGTTGTTTTCTCGAGTAAAAGCGGATAAATACTTATACTCAGAAATTTAATATTTATCCATTTTTCAATATGTTTTCATGTTTCTATCTCTAGTCCAATAGTCTCTATTATTTAGACCCTTCTTTATTATTTGTTCATACATAAATTCATTTAATCATGACATTCTACTGGTAAAATCCCTTTGCTTTTTCCTGGGTAAATAACTAAAGAATTTGGATGTTATAACGACATCGATACCGTACGATCTCCAGGGAGGCGGCGAACCTTCTTGCCGGATTACCGCCGTGGGATCTGGAGGCGAAAGTGCTCGCGCGCGTGTATGGCATGCGCGTGCAGGCACGTAGCCGGGGCGAAACTCCACTGCCGCGCCAGATTAGTGCGTAGCGGGAAGAGCTCCGGCGCGATCTCATGGCGGAATGGCAGCAACGACTGTCGCAACCGAGGGCTGGGCTCGCTGCCATCGCAGCGGTAAGTCCTCTTTATAAGGAGTGGCTTGAAAGACGCTACGGCGTCCTCACCTACCGCCTGACGCAGGTCCTCACCGGACATGGAGGTACCTGTGTCTGATAGGGCGGGAGGAAACGCCCGGGTGTCATCACTGCGAAGACCGCCTTGAGGACACGGTGGAACACACAGTTGAAGAATGCCCTGCGTGGGCTGAGCACCGCCGTGCCCTCAGGAACGTGATCGGTGACGGCGACCTCTCGCGTCCGGCCCTAGTGCGGGCCATGATGCGGAGCGAGGGGACTGGGATGCCGTCTCCTCCTTTTGCGAAGCAGTTATGCTAGCTAAGGTGGAGGCGGGACGCGTGAGGCCTTCGTCTTCACAACCCAGCCGTTGCGAAGGACACCCCGGGCGTCGGGGATCGCGAGACGATCTCCGGCCACGGTAAGCGCGGGCCTGCGGACGGCGAGCGTGGGTGGCTCGCCGCCCGACCAGAACCACACCCGAGCGTACGGCGCGTCGCGTTCCACGCGCGCCTCAAAGAGCCATCAGACCGCCACGGATGGGGCCCAGTAGGGCTAATGCCGATACAGAGTCGCGGAGAACCTAACGGGTTACCGGGGCTCCGGCTCAAAGTGCAGGAGTAGGAACGGGGTGGTTTTTAGTCAGTAAGAGTCTGATGCTCTCTCTCGCCTCACCCAGGCGGGAGCAGTCATTCGATCATTTTTCCCCCTTTAAAAAACACCGCAGCTCCTACAATAGTGTGTTGTCTCTTTGTCTCTTCATTTTCGGCTCACATTGCTCACAGTCTCCAGTTTTGGACATATTGGACCGACTCACTACATTCTTACTAATGTTATAAATTAAGTGAAACCAGATTCATTTAATTGTACAACTGACTTCCCACAGTCCCCAGAAATTTGATATATTTATTTATGAGAAAACTAAAAAAAATCTTACTTGATAAAAGATACTCTTACTCGGATGAATGCCTTGATGATAGACTTCTTAATCAATATTTGAAGAATAATAATTTTAATTCTAACTTTATTTAAACTTTATCTAAACTTTGTTTTTAATTTGACTTATATTGTTATGCCCGACAGACATTGCTTATTATGTTAACTATCTGAATCATACAAGTGGAAAGCAATGAGGTATTGAGTATACAACCCCGTTCATATTCCTGCTTCCAATCAGACGAGTCCCGGTAACACTTGCGGCCTGCGCGTGATTTTCCACCGGTTATTAGCTACCTATTTAGGTACTACGTTCACTGAACAAATTTTAATTATCCAGTGCAACCCAGTATCCATCCAGAGGAAGAAAGTATTGGACAGAATGTTTGCAAGATTGAATATTGGTGTTGATGGATATCACTTTCTTAAGTATGCAATAGCAATTCGCTTAAGATGTTTATAACGTTTCGTTGCATTAAAACTTATATACACATTAGTGAAACAATCAGGTCATCTGTAACTTTTGTGACCAATTGTGAATAAGCCCGTCCGTTTAAGCCGGCAATGTACATACTTAGGTATTGCTCAAGCGTTAATTTCTGCATAACCCAAGGGGGAATTATGCGTGAAGTTATCAAACGATAGTATAAAATTTGCAAGGACTATATTTCGGTTTAGAATATTCCCATGGAGTAGTGATACAGTCATCGAAGAAGTTTAGAGGTCAGCTTGGCTCTTAGAACAGAATCTTCAAGCGTGTGCGTTGCATGAACATTGTGCGCTCGGCTGCCTTCGAAGGCGCACGTCCGATCGTACCGCTATGCAAGAAAAATAGTCCCGTACACTAAACTCGCGTCCGGCGCGGTTATTAATCAACCACAATAGCAATAAGCCATATTTCGAAATTCGTCAATCCTTTTCTGAGACCTTCATTCTACTTCAATGCCGACTGAAGTTTTTTTTCGATTGTGACACGGTTAAGTTAAACATGCGTTTACATATGTTTTGGTGATTTAATTTGTTTGTAACATTTGTTTTTGTATTCAAAATGTATGCAAAGAAGATTTTTGGTTTATTTTCTTCAGTGATTCTGTCGATACTTGTAATAACCGGTAAGCTTAAACACTACTTTTTGCCTTAATAACTGTCTATAGTTTTAATTCCACTGTTAAACCATTTACTCTTAATGTAGAGAGTTTCTTCTCGGTGGATAATTATTTATTTAGATTATTTGAACATATAGATTATGGGTATCTAACCATAAAATTTTTGGCAATAGGTATTATTGTCAAAAATTTTACTCATCAGTGTTTTGGTACTACACAGATCTCTCATACTAGAAGGATGCCCTGCTGTCTTCAAAGACTCCCGATAGCTCTAATAATTTATTTAGTGTCTAATTCTCACGTTAGTTACATCGTACACGAAACAGTGAAACTTTGAACTAATGCTTATGCAGTTGCCCAATTCTTAGTATCGATACTGTATGTCTAGAGTATCCGAGTAGGTAGGTACTTCTATTTTCCACTAACGAACATTTTAATTAGTTAAGCAAGTATTATTTTAATACAAGTGTCGTCTTTAACTGTGTTGACATTTTGTCGAGTCTTTATACGTTTTTCAGGAGGGTCAGAAGATGGAAGTCGGGTGAAGCGAGTCCGCGCAGACAGTAGCGCAGTGGCTCGTGAACCAGCACAGGCTTTGGATGCCCCTGACCCAGAACAAGGCGCAGTTTCTGCCCCACCAGCGTTCCTTAGCCCCTCTGTGAAGGAATATCTTGAACTGGGAATGGCTATACCCGGTAAGTTACAAACATTTTTCATTGTCACTTCAAACTGTGTTTATGACCTTTCACTACCACAATACCAAGATGGTAATGCGAATGTTTGACGTTTTTTAATGTTAATTGTTATTTTTATAATTGTCTAGGTAAGAATGTTATTAATACAGTCTTCCTTTTTTCGCACACGAATAAAATGTTTTAGCTGAGGTATAGCTACTTACACATGAGTAGGTACCAAAATAACTTTTTTACCTAAAGATTACTTTATTTTTAGTACATATTAAGGCCAAGATACAGGATATGTAGGTACCTACGCAGATTTTGTATCAGCTATATATAGGTAAAAAGGTAGGTATATCGATCATGATATACGGATAATCCCATACCTATTCGTATGCAATTATAACCAGCTATGTTTATAATAAGTTGATAGATTGTCAGAACACCATCTATTTGAATTTCTGTTTATAAATTACCTATTTACAAAGCGTCATTAACGTTTTTGTGTTACTAGACGTGTCATCAAACCAAAATTACCACAAATCATGAACTTATACATTAATACACCAGTGATGTCAAGCGCAAATATAGGATCCTGACGCATCTGCCAGAGTATCTGTACTTACTTATAATTTGTGATCGATGTGTATGTACGAACCTAAATATTTTACTAGCTAAGGACACAACGTTTTTTGCTACGTCAAAGATACTAAGATACAATAATAGGTACCCAATAAACAAACATGCCTCTAATAACTCGACACATTTTCCATGATTCCCATTCACATTTAAAGAACAATATGCTTTAAAATACCCCGATTAGTAAAGTAGCTACTGTGATATTTTACTTCCTAAAATAGCCTTATTTGCTTTCTCAAAATGAAAGAAAAAGCTACTTAAAAATATCAGATAATCATATGTTTTTTAAATTCTAAAATAGCCTTACTAACTCAAAATAAAGGTCCTGAATGTGAAGACGTAATGTCCTACCTAATTCGCCGAAAAATGGAAACTCGACTCACGGTCAATATACTCTTGTAGATAGATATACTCTTGTATCTCTGGTTTAGATAATGTACTTATGAATTCGGCCTTTATTTATTACAATAGGAGTAGATGTTACCTATCTTATTTATTATATTTTATACACCTGAAGCCTTATTTAAGTAGACGGATTTTTGTCCTCGACATTTGTAAAGTTTATTGACATGTTCGCGGATCTTGAAACGTTTATTAATTGTTAGAAGATAAAAGATAATGATTATTTTATCTAATTTTTAAAAGTTCAAGTATTTAGCTGTCACGACGTAGGTACAATAAAAAGTTTTAGCACAGGTAGTAAGATGAATGGGAATTTTTATCTTTGTTACTATACCTAATCGTAAAATTGGTTGCGGATTTTTCCGATCTTTTATGATCCTCTTTAAATAAAGGCAATTTTACAAGTTTTGATTGAATAATTAATAAATATTCTGGCTTAAATTATATTCGTGAATATTTATACAGTTATAAAAAATGAGCTATGTATCCTAGTAACTCCTTGTATTGCAGCACCCAGTATAGTGGCAGCGTGTGCTTACCTCAATACGTAATTAGGTGCTCGTGCAGTTGCTATGAAATATTAGTTACTACATAACAATTGTCCGCTTACTAATCGGTGGACGTTTGTACGATTTATTGAATAATTAACTACAATAAATTATAATTAGGTAGGCACATTGTAATTATAAGTTAATTGGTGTCTAAACCTAAATATATTGATTGCTAGAAAGATGTTACTAACCTAGTAAGAGTGAAGCGATCTAAATTGTATTGGGTTGAATAGGGATTGTATTTTGAAGGCCTCGCGTTTATTCTAAGACGTGCGTTGAGCAGCCTTGTTCTATCAAGATTTTGACTTACTCTTGCGTTGTCTTAGCGCTTAACTATACTGTCATTCACAAACAGTGGTACTAGAGTACGAACGAGGTCGTATTCATAACGCACGGCTTTGGGCAACGCACCCAGAGTAAATCGGGCAGTTGCGTAATTCATTAGCATCCGTATGTAGGAACGATGGAAGCTTGCGTTTCAATAACAGTAATTAGAAAGGTTTAACGTACGCATCTCTGTCTTGAAATCGTAGAAAATAGGTACTTCGTTTTAGATTCAACGATTCCATTTATGATCCATTATTGTGTGATTATTATGTACTTCGGCATTTCAGACACGTGTGTGATTTTTAACTTATGTAATAACTGTAAGTAGGTATTCACCTCCAAGTGTTTTAAGTTAATGTTTTCCTGAGTTTTCTTAAACGTCTTCATAGTTTTGTACGTATTAACTAAAAGTAAATTCTACCAGTAAGTAATTCGTAGACTCGCGGTTAAATACTTTATAATTAATTATGTGCAAGTAGTAAAAATCGGATTGTTTGGCCACATAAATGAGTAGTAAGGCATAAAAACCAACATTAAGCGGATTCATAAGTTTTTATGAATATCATATTAAATTGTCGTGTATGCAGACAACATACATATGACCATAGTTTTAATTACTTGCCCATGGACAAGCTCAGGTACAACCGGAACTATTCGTACCTGTAATATGTAATAAGTAGATTAATTTTATGCCCTTCGAATTTTCTGTCGGAAAATCCGGATGATGTGTCTTGCTACCTACTCTGTATAATTCTATCCGACTTTAACAATTTAAGATGGAAATGAATCGTATTTTTTTTTATAGGTACACATACGGCACTTAATACCACTGTACAACGTAACACCCACTATTCACTATTTATTGCATATTTCCAGACTTTGTGCTGCTGCTGAGATTTTTTTAAAACCTAGTAATACTTTGCCCGACCCGGGAATCGAACCCGAGACCCCTTGTCCCGGCAGTCGCACGTGCGACCACTCGGCCAACGAGGCAGTCAAGTCAAAAACAGAAATGATTTTCTTAAACCTATACAATAATGCCAGTGCTTCCCAGAAAGTAATCCGAAGATACTTGTGATGGGATATAGTATAATGCCATAAGCTTAATTAACTCGTCGAGTACCGGTTTTGTAGACACAATTATAGAACAATAGGTTGCGGTCACCGGTGACCGCTTGGTGTTTCACAGTTTAATAACCATTTAATAAAATAAAAAATTGGAATCAATTTACATAATTTTATAACTATTTTTATCCATTTTAACGTCACGCTCACGTCGTTTAGAGATGTATAGAGATTAACTTAATAAGTGTGTTGAAATAGTTATTTTTCCTTGCTCGCAACCCAGTTTCATACGCCCGCCCATACATAGTCATATCTTTACATAGTAAATAATAAGTATGAATTAATGTAGTTGTGTAAACGATGTTCTGAACCTTTGTTTGAGTGAGAGACTGACTTTAATTGAGTGGTTAGGCTTGATTGACTTCGATACCACTGACATTAATGCAATGTTAGAAATAAAATTATTTAACTTTCTGAAATTTTAGGTACGGGAGTTATTTAAAACTGTCTGCTGATTATTATACTGATACAGCAATAAAAATAAGAGAACTTAGCCTTTTTTCCTTGAACAATCATAGAAATTATTATTATTGATCTAGTGGTCCATGTGAGAAATTGAAAGCAGTTTCTCCGCAAATTGATGAGTATTGAAGAAACTTAATAAAACTTTATTGAAAATTTTAAATCTTTAGATATTATTATAAACAATTAGATGTTTACATAATCCATCTGCAATATGATGTGTGTAATTGATTAGAATTCGCTGATTGCCATGAAGAGAGCTCCGATTACTTAGATTGTGGCCGTTTGAGCAAATCGCCCTGACATTCTGTACGTGGCCTGAGGTCGACATGAAGGCAGTCATGTGTGTGCACAACACTAATCTGTTATACATCCATCAACACGTCGTTTCAACTTAGGCCTGATCATTCAATCGTATAATAAAAATATCAATCAAATTAATATAATATTTCTGACAAGAACACGTAAATACGCTTGTAAAAATTAATTATTTATTCAAATATTAAGTATGTTAGTTTATTATTTCAATGTTATTGATTACGCAGGTGACGTATGTAGCTGAGCGATAAATGTTTTCAATACGGTAGTTGACAATTAGTCAAATTGAATACTTTTATCGAAACGTCAAAAACGAACTGTATATCGACAAATCGATGAAAGAAAGTGTAAATATTTTTCAATATTTAACTGGTCTGATATATCAAAATAATTTATTTTTGACCCAGGATATTACCCAATTCTCGGTTGGAGCAAACAGTATGATCAGTTTCGGATGTCACCTATACATATGAGACCTATTTAGATATGAAATTAAATTCAAAGGAGACTTGATTGACCACACATAATAAAATACATACCACAAGTGGCTCTACTTTTTAAAGTGGGTACCATAATTAGTAATTCAAAGTTTGTTTTCTTTTTATTTTATTTTGCTTTGCTATTTTTATTAAATGCATTTAACCTTCACTTGCAATGAATATTCCAGACATATATGATCGTATCTCGTAAATTATAGGCACCCATCTTGTTTTTATTTGGATCCACGCCCGCAATTTTATAAATAGGATTAAATGAATCAGTAACTGGTTTTAATCCAACTAGACAACCGTAACAGCATATGTTACCTAAGTGAATTACAGTCAAGTTATAAGTATTTTTGATGGGAACAATTTTGTCCACATACATGAAAATAAAAACTCGGCTTTCCTGATAAACTAAATACAGAAATAATTTGTGTAGAAAGAGAATATCCAACTTTTATTTTATGATTTCGAAATATTTCTAGTTCTATTTTGCAATGTTTCTTTGGACAGTCGTGTTTGATATTCACAATGACAATTGTGAGTAATTATTTCCTACGATCAAGTACTTTTGACATGACAGACTAAAACAATACTCGAAGTATTGATGTATAATTGGCGAGGCGTTGCCCGATCATGTGGGCGAACAATGGGCTGTAAGATCACACGCCGATTAAATTCATATTTACACACGAGACGAGTTTGACCCATA